ATAAACTGAGGTAAGTCAGTTCATATTTGATTTTAAGTTGAATTCCCGAAAAGTTTTGGGGTTTTGCCTGTTTGCCACCCACACATGTGATGTTTTCTGTACTTCAAGCGGCAAGGTACAATTTGCGAATTGGAAAAAAACCCAGTAATGTCATATTAAGTTATCAAGAGAGCAACTTGTATTTTGTGGTTGTGAAGTTCTTTACGACGTGATAATCATAGAGGCACATATGTTAACTGTGTCTTTCCAAAAATTTATTCAAAAAAACTTTGATGGTAGTTTCAGGCCTCAATACAAGCTATTATGCTATGAAAAGGTAGTTTCTTGTGAGGACGATGTATACTGTTGTGAATATGTAGTTTTTATATATATCGACAGCCATAAAAATACCTGTTGTGCTGTAGCACAAGAAGTAACGGCTGAGCTTGCAACCAATCTGAGCAATAAAGTTCCATGTTTTGCGGCGAAATCAACATTGTTTAGGAATATATTACCATGATATCATGTCGTTAATTTATGATATGATCTCATGGATTAAGGGAAACTTTCTTTATGTTAGAGGAGACAAACGGACTTTGGAGAGGTAAAACCCGACTGCCGTAAATCAACCCAAACACTGTTCCTAGAGCTTAGATTGCGAACGAAGAAAAATCCTAGATAACATCACGGCGAATTTAACTGAGGAACAAAATTATACGACAACAAGCCCAGAGTTTTTCCGCTCGTCAGTTCTCGGAGCGGCTCAGAAGATATCCCTTTCAGCCATATGTCTTCCTCCGTCCATTGCTGCAATCGTAGGAAATTTTCTGATCATCGTTACTCCCCGAAAGGTGTCGGAACCTACCAAGAGCATGTCAGAGTTTTCGTGGGTTAACCTTAAGCACGTTTGGAATACCACGTGTTATAAATTATATGTTGCGATGAATTTATTTACTGAAGACGCTCTTGACGATCCATCAAATACTAAGTTCTTTATTTTAGAATTTGATAGATATAAAAAAGGAAATAAACTAGAAATTATATCAGAACAAATGTTTAAAGCTATTTAGCACCTTTCACTTGCTGCACTTCCAAATAAAGTGTAATTTGTGTTGATGGCACCATAGCCGCCTGGCTGCAAAACAAGAAGTTTCCCATTTATGCCTTGAAAATGGGCATTTTTGTTATTTTTGATTTTATTTTCATTAACTTGGAAACCAATCAAACTCTCTACCGAAAACAAAGGAGAGGAAACAGTTTTAAGGACACAGCACCCAGCTATTATTTGACCATTTTATTTGGTGTAGGATCATAAATTAATTGGGGTGGAAGTTCTTCTAGCTTCAGTTCCTTTCTTTATATATATCAAGACACGTACAGATAAGAAAATAACTGAGAGTTTTGCACCTGTCATAATGCGTGCAGCATTTACATCGGTTAACTCTTTCTGACGTGTGGCACTCACTGACAGTACTGAAGACTTTAAGCAAACCACGAAGGCGACGGCAGAGAGAACGCGACGAAACTAAAGATTTATTAAATGAGAAAAAAGACAAACACAGGATTTACTGGCGCTTTTTCGTTTGATAACTCGACTAAAGATCGACAGTTTTCTCCCTTTTAATATCTGTTGGTCGCCAGTTGGCGACTTAGGTCGAAATACCATGGTGACCAAAATGGTCGCAGCTTGGAATGCTAAAAAGGTGTTTTTCACCATTAACCTCTATCAACCACAAACATTGGAAGTTGGAAAAATTGACGATTCTTTCCATGCTTGTGCAAGCACGCCCTTCTCTGCTTCATCCCTTGACTTAGATGGCTCCTAAAACATATCATTATATTCACACCTATGATGTCAATGTTTCTCTTTTATTTTGCAACTGACACAGTTGAAGGAATTCAAGGCCGAAACTCTTACGCGAGTCAGTTTTCAATAAGCTGAGGTAAGTCAGTTCCTATTTGATTGTAAGTTTAATTGAATAGTTTTGGGTTTTGCTTGTTTGTGATCCACTCATGTGATATATATTTCTGTGAAAGCAACTCTTAATTTTCTGTACTTCGAGCGGTAAGGTGCAATTTAGGAATGGGAAAAAAAGCCCCACTTTGAATGACATATTTAGTTATCAAGAGAGCAACAAATTACTTTGTGTTTTTGAAGTTATTTATGGTGTCTATGTATTTTACTCAACAACTTAACGTGATACGGCACTACGTCTCGTGTTTCTCTTACACTTCTAGCTTCTTCCTGCGTACGTTACAACATATAAGAGCACAGTTAAGGTTTCTCTGTTAGTTCAAACTATAAAAAGGGGTTGCTCGTGAGGACCACATATATAGTTGTAGATATACAGTTTTATGTTTCTTAACACCCATGAAAACACCCCTTGTTCTAACGCACGAATAGTCACAGATGAGCTTGGCAACCGATCTCAGCGATAAAGTTCCATGCTTAGCGACGAAATCGTCAATGTATTGGAATATATTACCATCAAATCATGTTGTTAATTTATAATATGATCTCATGGATTATCAAGAGATATATATTTTTTTATTTTAGAAGAGACGAATCGACTTAGAAGTGGTAAGAAACCGACTGCTGTAAATCAACCCAAATAGTATTACTAAAGCTTGGATTTCAAATAGAGAGAGAGCCTAAATGAAATTATGGCGAATTTAACTGAGGATATAAATTATACAAAAACAAGCCCAGAGTTTTTCTGCAGTATTGGTCCCGGAGCAGCTCAGAAGATATTCATGTCAGCCACAAATCTTCCAGCATCCGTAGTTGCATTTGTAGGAAATTTTCTGATCATCGTTACTCTTCGTAAGGTGTCGTGCCTTCATACGCCCTCGAAACTTTTGCTCGGTTGTCTTGCGTGCACAGATCTGGGCGTGGGCCTCATTTCACAACCTCTTTACATTGTTTACTTCCTGTCTTCAGAGCACTCAAAGGATTGTTACTACTCTTACTTACTTCTTAGTACTTTTGGATCAATATTCTGCGGGGTATCGCTGTTGACAATGACTGCAGTAAGTGT